CTATATGTTACTGACTTACTAATACTGGTATTTTCTTATTAATAACTTCCTCTTTCAATATTGGTAACCAGATCCTACTACATTCTGCCGAGGAATGTAGTAGGAATTTTTAAAGACGAATTACATGCTATGATTTTTTCTGACGGATATTCTCAAGTTAAAGTTGATTTCATGTAATCGAATGAACTATCTTATAAGTAAAGTCGTCCCAGGAGCGCAACTCAACAATATTGGCAATATCATTTTAAAGTCGTCTACTTTAAAATGCATAATGTATGTCTGAATTGTCAATATAAATGAGTCAGATAAAATTAAATTATCAGAAGAATTTTTTCACTATGTAACAAAAAACAAAATTTGTTTAATTTACTATTTGTATTTTGAGAACGATTTCCGAATTGGAAATTGAAACGTCAATAAATGTATTTTTATCTTTAATGTGGCTTATTCCCAGTTATAAATAGTAATTAATTTACAATGCCACAAGAAAATAGCTTCAGAACAATATCCTTTATAAAGGTATATAAAAATGCCCCAAACGGGCTATCACAAACACATTGCAAAACGTTTTCGGATTAAACAATCCATCATCAGTGCAAACGGTTGTACAAGCTAGTAGCCACCAAAATATATGGGTCAAAACCCTTTAAATGTTTTAAATTTGTAGTTGTTTTACATTATTAGTATTTATAATTTGTGATGTTTAAGTTACCGTTGGATAGGTAACATGGCGGCGTATGACTCTACATGAGTAAATTGGTCCTGAGACGAAGTGTCTAGGTAACATGGCGGCGTATGACTCTACATGAGTAAATTGGCTCGTAGACACTTCGTCTCAGGACCAATTTACTCATGTAGAGTCATACGCCGCCATGTTACCTATCCAACGGTAACTTAAATATCACAAATTATAAATACTCATAATGTAAAACAACTACAAATTTAAAACATTTACAGGGTTTTGACCCATATATTGCAATTTGTTTGTGATAGCCCGTTTGGGGCATTTTTATATACCTTTTATAAAGGATTTTAAACAATTTTTTGTGATATATGGTGTACAGCCAGCTACAGGAACTTAGTTTCCTCGTGGAAGTTTATTTTATTGGTTATATATAACCAATAAAAGTTTAATAAGTACCTACCTATTTGCAAAATAAAGTTTAATTCTTTAGATAAAATAAAACGTTTTATTTTATCTGAAATGAGTGCATTCCACGAAGTAAGGGTTTCAACAATCAAACATTTAATTCTTTAATTCCAGGAATCTACGACAGTAATTGACTAGATAATTACCTTCTAAACTTATTCCACAGAAAATGTGATAGTGGGTTTTTCCATTTTGTAGGAAGGTCCAAGTGGCGTATTCAAAATTCTTAACAGTTCACTAAAAGTAGGTACGTCAGTTGCAAGGTGCAGTTTATTGTGTATACTAGTGTTATGGAAAATTTGGAAGTGCCGTGTAAACGCCGAAAAATTGGTCCTTTAACAGTTAATGAAAAAACATTAATATTTAATTGTTTTAAATCATTTACACACAAACGTTTATGTGAAAGTGTTGATGAGACCGTTGAGTTAGTTAGCAGTACACTTGGTGTTGGGAAATCTACGATTTACAGAGTTATTAAAGAAGAGAAATGTGGTAGTTTTCAAATGCCACGTAATGCTCCACGGAAACCAAAATTTCAAATAGAATATCATTTTAAAGAAGGACTTCGACGGAAAGTGCATGAATTCTTCTTTAGACAAGAATTTCCAACATTGGATAAAGTTCTTGTCTCAGTTCGAGATGATAAGGATTACCCAGAAATGAGTCGAAGTACGTTATGGAAACTTTTAAAAGAAATAGGCTTCCACTGGAAAAAGAATCCCAGAAAGTCTATTTTATTAGAAAGAAGCGATATTGTCATATGGAGAAGACATTTTCTAAGAACCATAAAGGAAATGGGAAACCAAAAAAGAAAAATATTTTATCTTGATGAAACATGGATCAACGAGGGTCATACACCAAATAAATTTTGGCAGGATGAAACTGTTACAAGTCAAAGGCACGCTTTTGTAAATAACTTCTCTACTGGTTTAAACCCACCATCAGGAAAGGGACGCAGGCTGATAATAGTACACATTGGCAGTTCAGACGGTTTTGTTGAAGGTGGTTTATTAACTTTTGAATCAACTCGTACCGGTGACTACCATGAAGACATGAACGCTGATGTCTTTCAAGAATGGTTCGAACAAATGATAGATCTTCTTCCTAAGAACTGTGTAATAGTAATGGATAATGCAAGTTATCACTCCAGACTTATAGAAGGACTGTCCACAACCAAGTGGTTAAAAAAAGACTTGCAGAATTGGCTGAGTTCAAAAAATATTACCATCCCGGATCTATAAGAAAGGAAATTTATTCGTTGTGTGCCCTTCATAAAGAAAAATTTAAAAAATACGAAATTGATGAAATTGCCAAAAATCGTGGAATGACAGTACTTAGATCCCCACCATATCATTGTGAATTAAACCCGATTGAACTGGTATGGGCACAGATAAAGAGTGAAGTTTCAAGAAAAAATACCACTTTTAAAATTCATGATGTTAAACAGTTGTTTTTGGAGGCCGTAAATAATGTAAAACCTGAAAACTGGGAAAAGGCAGTAAATCACAGTATTAAAGAAGAGGAAAAAATGTGGAAGCTGGACAATATTACTGATAAAATGATCGAGCCAGTTATTATAAATCTTGGTTCTGAAAGTTCATCTTCTGAATCTGATTTGGATTTGTAACAAGTAGCTGTAAGTTTTATATTAATATTTTTATTCATCTATTTAACATACCTTAGACGGTTTTAAAAACTCTTTTTCTCTTTTGTAATTTTTAAAAATTAAAAAAAATGTGAATTTTTTAAAACCCTTTTTAATGTAGGCCAGTCAGTTCTAATATAGTGTGTGATAAAAGAGGTCACTTTTGTTTACATACACATAACACTTTATATCACTGAAATAATTCATTTATTTTTTACAATTATTCAAAGTAATTTTTCAATTAATCTTGAGCACGCCCATGGTGTGGTCGGATGTACCAGTTAAAATTATGCTAATTACTCTCTCGTTCATAAAAATAAACTATAATGTAAGAGGTAATTATACAAGTAATTCGTTAGGTTTTAATTTTGAGAAATTGGATCACTCGACTCAAAATGTAGTTAGAGGAGAAAGGAGATCTTAAGAAATTGAAAATGTTCAAGAAAAAGGACTGGAATCAACTAAAAATGTCAGAATTATGCCTGCAAGCTTCAGAAGACTGAAGAGATATAGAGAGACGTAAGATAAACTTAAATGTGGAAAGAATCCATAACGAAATTGTTTAACGATGATGGATTATTGCAAGAAAAACTGCAGGAACAGACAGGGTCGAATATTGTAACGACATAATTGGAACAAAAAATTAAGAACACAAAGGTCGGGAAAGAAGTAGGCCCAGATGATATACGTGTTGAATTAATCAAATGAAATTATGATAAAACCCTGCACATATTCCTAAATCTATTTAACAGAACCTACCTTTGTTGCCCAAATTTGTCACACTACCAAAGACAGCAAACGAAACAGGATGTTCACAATACCAAACGTTATATTTAATAATGCACACACTGAAAATCTTCCTGAAAATAATACACGGAATACAAAAAACTAAAAGAGGATATACATAATACCGTTGATTGAATATCCGAATATTCGGATATTCAATCAACGATGATACCCAGTTCGGAGGAATGGGAAAAAGAGAATCATTTTTCGCTTTTAATGTGCTGTCGCAGTATGTTTGTTTAATTGATTTTCAGAAGACGTTCGCTAGAGTAAGACATCAGAAAGTTGTAGAAACGCTAAGAGAAGAGAATGCAGACAATCGAGACATTCGTCGTATCATAATTAGGAATTAAAGTGTTGGAATCGAAGAGTTACCGTCAAAACTGACAACTATGAAACAGAAAGCATAAACATTAAAAGAGGTGTTCGACAGGGTTGTGTGTTGTCTCCATTCTTACTCAACCTTTACAGCGAATTTTTAAGGAAGCATTATTGATGCTTCAGATTGAAGATTTACAGATGAGACCGTTATTTTAGCTAATAGTCTAGATACACTATAATATTTAGCAAAGACAGCAAATAAATTTACAGATTAGAAATCAACGTAAAGAAACCCAAGAACATGATTATTGATTATTATAAACCGAAATATACAAAACACGCTAGATATATAAGAAAAACAGGTAGAAAGGGTTAACAACTAGAAATATATTGTTCTGAAGCTATTTTCTTGTGGCATTTTAAAGTAATTACTATTTAAATGGGAATGAAGATGGGAATGAGCCACAATTAAAGGTTAAAGTACGTTTATTGACGTTTCAATTTCCACTTCGGAAATCGTTCTCAAAATACAAAAATTAGTAAATTGTTTGCAGAATTTACTAATGTTTGTATTTTTTTTACTTTAACTTTTTTACTACATAATATTTAAAAGAATCTTATTAATGCGTTAATTCAGTCCAATCGTTTATTGACAATGATAAAAACCGTAAGCTAAGTAAAATCCAGTTCGAAGGACCAATGTAATTCGACGATGTGAAATGGTACGCAGTGAAATGTTGCGGATTAAATGATTTATTGGTAGCTCAAAATAGGTACACTCAACGTAACTTAAAAAATGACTAAACGCATTGACTTGAAGTAATAATCTGATAGACTACGAACAGAACAGAATTTAACCCTAATTTATAAGCTTACAATATTAAACATTTCATCAAAAAAAAAACTTGTGCCTTTGGGCCCGAGGTGCTTACATACCTATAATATTCGCATTTTAAAGATTGGCAAACAATATTGTTGCATCAATATGATCTAAATATATATTTTAAATATCTTTGTAAAATAGTATTGAGACCACCAATAAAAACACAAATAAAATAATTATATCAAATGATTAATTAAAAAAAATTATTGACATACCTGTTGCCTAAGCTGCTTAATTTCTTTTCTCAGTTCTTTGATGATGTCGTCTCTAAACGCCGTTTGTTTGTCGGCCTGTATGCATCGCTCTTCCAATTCTTGACATTCTCTCTTAAGTTTAAGTACCGTGTCGTGTTTGGAAGCGACCTCTTCAGTCAAAGCTTGCCTCATGTCGATCATATTCTAAAAAATAAAAATATTAGATTAATGTTTGCTACACTTACCATCCGTTTACCTTGCCGTTTATCATAACTTAGTACATTAGACACACTTTGTGTTACCATCTTTAATTCTTACACTCTTGTTAATATTTATTAAATATACACTACTTATAATAAACTTTTATAAGTGTTAAGGCTTTTAATTAACATAGAATTTTGACCACTCATTGGCTTCATACTCTATGAGAATGATTATATAGACGTTTTCATCGTTCTTGGCGTGTGCGTGTAAAAACACTTGCAATAAGTATTTTCATCTGTCTTTCCTTGTCTAAGCTCGATTCGTTTACTCCAGTGGCGGAGCAAAATGTAGCATGTCAAACGAAATAATAGTTATAAAAGAAAATTATAAATTATTTTTCATTAAATTTATAATAACGGAATATACGTATAAATTGCGAAGAAATATTTTTCTAGCTTGCAGTACAATAGGACAGGATATAACGAAAAGTACATTTTAAAAGGATTTTGAAATATACCCAAAAAAGTGTTAATTATTTAACCCACTTTAATTAAAAAATGATACAGATTTTTTAAGTTTTAAGCACTGTAGAGAATTCTGAGCTGTTACAACGTACTGACCTCGATTAATTAGCTAATCAGTCAGCGTCTTCACTGGAACTGTCTTCATCATTGGAATCTTCCGCCAAATCGATTATAATCCTACTTTCATTTTCATCATATGTGACCATTTTTGCCCAGTCTTCCTGAATTAATTTTTCAGTATGGTTAACATAACTCGCCCACACTGCAGGTGTTGCCTCGGCTAATGCATCGCCCCAAACTTTTTTCACTGTTTCATCTCCGCGTCCATGTTCTCCAATATGACGATCATAGTATTGTTTAGAAATGCCCCAGACCAACTCAATCGGATTATATTGAGAGTGATATGGAGGCAATCTCAAAACCTGATGCCCATGTTCTTGGAGTAGCTCGTCCATAACGTACCTGGTAATTTGTGGTTTATTCTGGCGACAAATACTCAATACCCCGAATCGTCGTCAAAAATTATTTTTTTCGCTCGTAACCATTCTTGTAAATCCGATTTTTTCCAACTGGCATTCGGTAACTTTTCTATTAAAGAGCTATGGTATGAGGCATTATCCATAATAATTAGAGATGGTTTTTTTAAAACTTTTTAAAAGACTCTTTATCCATAGAATCATGATAGTCTGCACTCTTCGATTTCGTAGAAAACAGTAATCCAGCATCTTTAACAAATCATTGCCTACTTCCGGTATTAATTTAAAACAACAAAGCGTTTACCTGTATTTTCGTGTCCTTTTCTGATGCTTTTCACACAGTCATCTTGCCAAGTACGTTTATATGCCCCTTTTAGGAATATCCATGTTTCATCTAAAAAAACGAACTGAAGTGGGCTTTGACTTAAAAAATTTCTCATATAATGCCTCAAAAAATACAGTCGTTTGGAGACAATACATGGTTTCTCACATAGCACTCGTCTACTATTTTCTAGTTTGTATGAAAACCCATAATTTTTCATAAGACGCCACAAACTTGTATCAGAACCGTCATAGAGATGCTTGTTTCTTAATTGTGTATTTAGAATTTTAATTGTAACGTGCTCTCCTTTTGTTTTCATGCCATACAGTACATTTCTAATTTCTCCTTTTATAGTATCGCTGACATCATTAGTCTTTTTTTTTGTACATTACGTGACTCTCCTGGTGTAGTAAGAGCTGCCCCTGTCTTGTATTCACTCTTTATTCTTGTCACTGTGCGAAGACTGATTTTCAAAGCGTCCGCTACTCCTTCATGTACCGATGATAACGAAAGCAAAGGTCCGTTGTTTTCTTTTTCTTTTTTAAAATACTCCAGTAAATGAACTACACATTGTCGCATTTCTCCTGTTATCCTTTTTCCCGGCATTTTTTTTTTATTAAATACAACAATTAGTTATTCACAACAAAAAATAATAAGTAAAACTGTTCGGAACAAATTCCAACAATGACTGACTAAAATGGACTAAAACAACATAAAATATCAATGGTAATTGCTACAATTATAAACCTATTAGCCAGCTCATTCAAGAACAATGCCACAAGTCATTATTGCAATGGGTATCGGAAAAGAGAGAGTTAATTTATAATAAACTGGAATTTTTAAGGTGTCAAGATATTATTTTATGTAATGGAATTCCACACAGTAAGAGCTCAAACTATCAATCAATTAAAAACTGTTTACTTATAAAAACTATTTCATCAGCTACTTCAAACCTACACAGATCAGGGTAACATGTTAAAAAAAAACACGTCACTGGCAGCTATCTGTATTCGTAAAGAGGCCGAACTTATCACCGACACCGTATCGGCCAAACGCATCGGCGTTATTGCTACAATACTGGGAGACGTGAGTGGTCTCTTCATTCCCTTCTCATCGCACTTTACCATGACGAACGTGACTCGCACAATTGAATTACGCATCTGTGTATCAGAGAGAGACGAATATTAAAAATTCCGTAGTAGCTTATTTCAGGCACACGCCAAGAACGATGAAACCGAGTTTACTAGTGTTGGGTGCGTTACGTTAAATAACGTGAGCGTGAATAAACTTCTGGGGCGTGAGCGTAGACGATAATGTGTGAGCGTGAAACTTCAACGTTCTGATTATACAGTGAAGCCATTTTTAAGGAGTCCACTACGCAATGCAAGAAGAAAATTATTAAAAAGGTACTATTTTATCCAATGGAAGTGTCTGCATAGTTAAAAAGATTCAACTGTTCCAATCTACAGCAACATTCTATAACCTAGCGAGAGACCAAATGAAGACAATTTTGAAGATGAATTGGTAAATGAAGACATTATTGAACTTTCTGAAGTTGGCGATGTTTGAGCTAACCTTATATAATATTTTAGAGTTATGGAGAAACTTCAGAAGAATCATTAATATACATGTATCATTTTTTATTCCTTATTAAATTTTTCTTTACATAATTTAATTTATTCCTGCCACCTGCCACAGAAAAGTTTCACCAATTTAGAATCTCCTTAGAAAAAAAAACTAAAATAGCCTGCAATTCTCTAATGGGAGAGCGAGTTTTGCTTTAAGGCAGAGTAAATAATCTAATTATTATTTAATAATTATTATTATTTTTAGCATTGTTTATTAAGTAATATGTTGAGAACTGTTTCATATTCAGTAATTGTAAACTCATAAAATGCATTGAAACATTTCGATGATTTTTCTGCACAATACATCCCTAAAATCATTAAAAAAAAACAAAAAATTTACGTTACCTTTTGTAGATTTTCACATTCATCTTTTTTCATTTGGAATTGTTTCGTCATACTATTTAGTTCGCCAACTTTTGCTTCTAACTTCTGGATTGTACTGAAAGTAATTATTTAGTTAATTATATTGCTTTCGATGTTGCGTTGTATACAATTACCTGTCCTTTTCTGTAGATCTCCTCTCAGCCTAAAAAATGAAAAACATATAAACAACGAAAGGCAAATGTATAGTAATATTGGTGCAATACGAAATTTCCTAAACATATTATCATTGTTATGTCTTTTTGATCACTGTCAAATCCATTATGCTTCTATCTCTCATCTCCAAAACCATCCAAAAATACCCGGGTTAAATTTAGAAAGAGTCAAATAAAAGCAAGCATTTATCATCAGAAGGTTAATTTGCTGCTCAAAGATAGTATCCAATACAATTTCCCTTTCTAACAAACTCTACTTTTTAAGATCAACCTTTCGAGCATCGAGAAATGTTTAATCTTATTTATTCTTGAGTGAGGGTAATAAAAAGTGATCCATTCGAGCCAACATTGATCTGAATGATGAATTAATCTAGCTTAAATTTCATTTAAACGTACGAAATAATTTAAAATATTTCGTCGAGTTCTATTTTCTTAAAGGGAAACTTGGTAACATGTATATTTGCAAGTATTTTAAGTTTAGCGATAAGCAAAAAATATGTCCTCTGCCGCTAGTCTGAACCCTTAGTGACAAGAAGTGCCTCAAAGCGGCAGTACTATCCGTTGCAAGATAATTCGGATGGAATTCCTCAGATTAAGAGAGTGGCCCGATATCAAGCACAAAATGACTGTACTCCATTAATGCTGTAACGAATAGTCACCTGTAGTCTGTCATTACGTTTAGGTGCAATTTTAAATTATATCCAATGTTTAAAGGTACTTTACTAAATGATACAAAGTAGGTGTAGCTCAATTTTGAGTTGTTAACGATTGGTAAATAAAATTTTAAGCATAATTTTGTGTACCTGTTTAACTTTAATCAGTTAATTGCATTTACACTTGGAATTCAGAATTACAAATTTCAAATTTCTAGGTACGTAAAGCCAGTGTTTATAAGAGATTAGAAAATTTCTTGGAATTTTATTCAGGTAAAAAGATAACGTTTATTTAATATCAAATCACTAAATGGGTTTCTGTGAGAAAGAAGTTTATTTGAAAAGAACTTCATTTTTCTTTTGTCGTTCATTTAGAACAAAAGTCAGTGTAATAACTATAAATATGAGTGATATACAAATGAGTAGTGACGATGTCCTGTATATTCCTGCCACTATTTCATTAAGTGAAGACGAATCTGAACCTGAAAAACGTTCTGGTTATATTCCTCTCCACACGATGCAAAGCAAATCGTGCTTAACGTTTACAACGGTAAGTACTCGTTAAAAATACTCTTTAGTTAACCTTCCTAACACCGGTTGAATTTTAAAACCAGGTGGGGCCATTTCTCGCCCTAGTAGTTTGGTTCACTTTTAAGCGTAAGGATTCTATGTATCTCATTAATCTTAACATTTTTTAACTCTTTACTGTCTGTATACTTTGTTTAGTGCCAATTCAACAAATTAAAAATCAAAGACAGAAGACAGTCACATTCAGAAACACCAAATAAACAGGTAATTTTAGTAGTTATCAGATATCAGACGTACTTAGGGCTAATTGGACTTTACAAATTCTTAGAGAGACAATCGCAACTAGAAAGTGATGCTTCGAAGAATCTAGACACAAATATGCTAATAGAAGAATTATAAAAGTTCCCACTGTGTAATAGCAAGAATGGAATTTCAAAGATAAAGGAAATACATTACAATCAACTGCTAATATGTAAATAATGCGACTGCATGTCATGGCAAGTAATTAGTACAGTCATTAGTAACCATTTTCCAAAACTTTCATCTAAACTGATAAAATAAGATTTGTAGAACGTGAAAACACTCCATACCACGTGGGGCAAATTTTCGCTCCACATACATTTCTGCGAAATCCGACGAGAATATTTAATTTTCTGTTCGCGGTATTTTGGGTTTTACTACTTCTTTGTGCTCTTAATACATCAACTAACAATGTGTTAAACCGTCAAAACGATTAATTAAACTTAATTACAGATATTAATAAAAACGTTAGACCTAAAAACGTCATAAAAAACACAGATCTCCTTAAAAAGTAAAATTACATATTCTTCTTAGGTCTTCTTTCGACGATGGTTAAATCAGAAGCGATCAAAATGACGGTTTTTTGACGATCCACTGTGTACGAACTTATAAAAGACGGTCCAGTGTTGGGAAATAAAAGAAAGGATTCTGGTACCCATCGAATATTACCGAATTTTCATTTATCAGCTATACGGGAAACAATATATCATATGTATTCAGTGAATAACTTACCAACTTTAAATAAACTTTTGAGTGAATCAAGAAACAAAGAAATAATCCCCAAGTGTCATAAAACTACTTTTGGGAGGTTTTTAAAATCTAATGGTTTTATGTTTAAAACAGTGAATAAACGGCAGGCAATTATGGAATCCAGCCGTTTAATAAAGTGGAGGTTCGATTATATGGAGAATCTAATGTCTTTTATGAGTGTAGGGAAGAACTTGTATTAATTGGTTCGACACCCACGATATAGTTAAAAAATGTAAAACCGATGGTAGTAAAAATTGCGTCATCTATGTTCCTCCCTCTAGAGGGAAGAGAATTTGTATTTTACTTTGTGATGGAGAAATAGAATGGGTAGAAGATGCTTTATTACTCTCTGTTAAGAGTGTAAGTGATTGTCGCTTAGATTAATATCAAGATAAGGACAGTACTTTGTTTGAAAAGTGGTTTTAGCAGCAATTACTATCTAAATTAAAAAGAAATAGCGTTATTATTTTGGATAATGCTCCGTACCATTGTAGACTAAAGAGTAAAATTCCAAACACTAATTAAACAAAGCTGAAATTCAAGAATTTTTATCAAAACATGAAATATATTTTATGGATTCTTACACAAAAAAACAACTTGTATTATAAACACATAACTATTAAAGTTAGTTAAATGTGAAAAAAATTATGTTATCGACAGTCTAACAACTATTATTGTATGTTAAAAGTAACAAATCAAATAGTGCTCTGTGAGAAGCAATACTTTGTTTCTCTAACATTTTCTCCCAACTAACACAATATTTTGTTTTGTTTTAGTTAACTAACACATTATTAATTTATACAGTTTAGAGAGGGTAGCGATTTCAGGATTTGAATACAGTCGAGATATTATGCCTGTTTGAATATAACATAGTAAGTTTGCTTGATGTTGGGTAGAGTCAATAAAACTCTATGTATGCTATGCAACTGACAGGTGAAAGGTGAGTTTCACCAATCAATGGGAAAATAGAAGAATAAAAAACAAAAGGGAAAACACATACAAATACTAAATCACATACTGAAAACAAGAAGTGTAGGAAGCCCCATCAAAACATGGAGAAACGTACAAAAAGCGCTTAAACCCTGGAATGATAAATAAGATTTATTCTTGATAGACCTGTTATGTGAACTCAAATAACTTACATCTTATCGTTACACCATTTTTATTATGGACTTACTATTTATTAACTATAACATAAAATCATTATACGCTACTCCGAATTGACTAGCACTGTATAAGCCGACTGGCCAGTGGCACTGAATCCGCCGAACTAAATCGCTGGTCCGCAAGCGCCGTTATGCTGCGTTTAATCCGCATTGTTGAATCAGGATTTCTATGGAACACCATGTAATACATAAAACTCTTAATCGTTCAAGCCTAAGCTAATGCAAACGCAGTTGAGCAATAATTTAAAAAGCAGAATAATAATTTAAAAAATGAAATGAGGTTGAATGCTCGAATAAATGAACTTTGAAAATAAGGCTATTATCGAGCACAAGTTAATTAAATCTAGCCCAAGTACTTTCGCTTAAAATAGCATCTTCAGGGCATTTCGTCAAAATGTGAACTATCCGGCAAGCGTAGAATGTGGAAACATTAAAAATAACATAAATTGTACAAAACACTACACTAAAACGAGGACAAACAGTTTAAAATTACTTCTACGCTACATTCTCTGTCAGTATCTGGAGGGAGAATGTAGCGTAGAAGTAATTTTAAACTGTTTGTCCTCGTTTTAGTGTAGTGTTTTGTACAATTTATGTTATTTTTAATGTTTCCACATTCTACGCTTGCCGGATAGTTCACATTTTGACGAAATGCCCCTGAAGATGCTATTTTAAGCGAAAGTACTTGGGCTAGATTTAATTAACTTGTGCTCGATAATAGCCTTATTTTCAAAGTTCAATAATTTAAAAAGCATTTTAGATGTGATTATACTAGTGTAAAGAAATCATTTATGAAGAAGAAAAATGTTTCTTTCCGGTATAACAACTGGGTTAATGTCAAAGTCAAAATTGTATTTATTTGTTCAAATATTTTCTTCTTCATTTTTTATTTTGGTATTTTATACTTTGTTTAAATTGTGATTATTGTTGTTTAATATCATTGTTGTTTTTTTGAACGATCTCTACTTCTTCATTAACCGATTTTTTCTAATAATATTGTACTAACACTTCCGAATGTTGAACTTATGATCAACTGAATTTTACTAAAAGTCTGATAGCTTACGGTTAGAATTTTTAGACTTACGCAAAAGTGACTTTGATCTACTTTACAACGCAGATCCCAATAACGTAATTTAACAGAGTAAAAGAGATAATATTATTAGGAGAGAAACATTTTTCACGTGTATGTTTTCAAAGCATGGATAAAGAAAAAATAAAGTGTTTTCTTAATTATTTCAAAGTGAACTTTCTAAATTACCTATCTAATTTTTTTCATTACACACATTTCTGGGCCTAAAAACAATACGACACATATCACCAAAACCTTTAATGTATTTTCTAAACTTTTATTGCTTCACTACTGTGAGTAGTAGTACTGTGAGAGTATCTACCAAATTATTGTCTAGCCTAGATTGATTCAAATGCGCATGGACACGTTTGCAGCTTGAAGACATTTGAGGTTAGGTTGTGAAAGGATTAGTTTTGATCTGCACTTCAGAGATATTGCCCAAGGGAAAGAAGATTACCTGCCCATACTGGTGGGCAAGTAACATAGAAGTTATAAGAAGAAATTACAACGAGTTAAGAAGAAAACTCACCAGAGACAGGAACAAACCGTCCAGTAAAAGAGTACGAAAGACTTAAAGCCTTAAAGAAAGAACTAATTATAGAAATAACATCAGAGGAACGCATATACAATTGCAGTAAGATAACTCGAAGGAAACACCTCTAAGATAGACAGACGCAGGAGAGAACTAGCGGAAACACTAATCCCGAAAAGAGTGGAGAAAGTCTTCCATATAATAATTACAGATACGCTCACAAATGACTTCACAATGCAAGAGATAATAGAAACAGGAAAGGTACTAAAGACAGGAAGGGCACCCGGATCTGACAGAATTGCGCCGGAAATAATAAAGATCATAATTAAGGAAAACGCTGAATGAGTGAAAAACATAATGGATGTAAAAACAATTCCCACGGTATGGAAAGTGACAATATCTTCATTCCTACACCCAGTCTTTATCAAGCCTTAGAAAAAGAATCAACATGCAGAAGTTAAAATGGATAAGTGCTTAGGGGTTCTTCATAAATTATACATCTAGGCAGAGCGTACATCAGAGTGAATAATTTCATAGATCCACTTTTGCTGCGACGACAATATGATATCAAACACGAACATTTGACATTTAGATATGAAAAAGCTGCCCATATGATGGTTGTTGCCGTGTTTGCGCACTATCGAACAAAAACGGACAAGCGTATCGGTTTCCAAGAATATTTTGGCAAAGATCCATTTATATATGTCGAAGAGGAATGTACGTCAAATCAGTGGAGAAAAAACGGCGACAATCACGTGAAAAATCAAGCCAATCTGCTCAGCTGGAAGTGTGATAGGGATTATTTTTGGAAATGGATATTATTTACACTGATTACTTAAAAAGGAGTAGTTGCCTACAGCAATAACTGGCGAGCAATAACAATCCCGTGTGACCGTTTCCTGGCTTTAAACTTCGGGGGACTCATTTTTGGATCGAATAAAGCAATCATAACTGAAATTTCACATCATTTGCAAGACTACTTTTTCGCGTTCAATTTCGCATTTAGTTATGAAAGATGCAATCTGAGAACCACGTGTGGGAAAAATCATTAATTTTATCCCTGAATTGTGTATTTTGAACTTATCAATAAACTTGCAAATAATTTAGACCAAACGGAAGGCAACTGAAAAAATCGGATAGTACAGTGGTAGCGGACGCCAGAAACCTGATGGATATCAGCACTTCTCCTCGAGTAAATCAATTAAATTCTTAGTAATAATAGTTACACAAACTTTTTCAATAGTACTAACATCCATATCAATTACTTGTGCCTAAGCTTGATATAACTTTGAGAACACTTTATATAAATATTTTAACAATATGCCGAATACAGCCAGTGCAACACATTGAAAATAAGCTGCATTTTTGTTAATAAAGCAAATTTAAGGCAAAGCAAAGTAAAATATTTGCGTACCTTTACGTTTTCTTTATTTAAGTACCTGAAAAAATGAAAAAGTTTGAAGGTTTTAAACTCGCATTAACTAAGAGTGTGTTTAGATAAAAAGTCTACATACTGACTTATGTCTTCATGAATTCCGCTGCCAAGAAGATCTGCTTCTGTTAGTTCAATAAAATTAAGTCCTTCCGTATTCCATCGATTTTCTTCCCTTATCCTACGCAAAAATTCTAATACATTGGTCATATCATTTTTTAGATTAAATATCCTTTTACGTGGTTCATCCAGGAGACTTCCAGCTATGTCGTGTTCTCGGTACTTCTTCATTACCTAGTTAAAAATAGTATGTATCAAAATAAAAGTTGGGATTATTAAGAAAACTTACATTGCTCAAATCTTGACAGCTTTATTTCTTCTAGTAAATTTCATAAGTTGTGTATCTTTTAATAAACATTTAATATTTTCTGAACTACTGAATTAAGAATTTAAAAGTAGAACTGTGGCATAAATACAAAATCTTAGATATTTACCTCGCAAATGCATTCAGCACTTCTTTGTAATTTTTCTTCTAACATTTTAACACGTTCGGTAGCTTCTAGTTCTAAATCCTCAACGGCTCGTACGAGCATTTCATTTTGTTCAGTCAAATCTCCAATCCAATTCTGCTGTAGTTGCAATTTCTCCTAAAGCATATTGAATAAATTAAATAATAATAAAAACTGATTCATTAAAAAATATAAGGTAAATGAAAATGCTTCTTCTTCTATTATTTTAATGAAATATGAAGCTTCCATGTTATAATTAATTTATTTTTTTTAATTCGTAAGACATGCTGTATATTCAGTTAATCTAATTTTTACAGTAATAAAAATTTCGTTAGCACTAGATATTTATTTGGACATATTCTAAATAATGATCTTAGACACAACTTTATAGCAAATAAAAAGCACCACTTCCTTTCGGCCACCCCAGTTTGAAATTCAACTTTTGTTGAATGTAATTCCAAAAACTTTTAATTCTTTTTTTTAAGTTATGAATGAATGGATTTACTACTGGTAAGAGATTGGTAGAATTCTTCGCAAATTTTAATCTTTTAAATTCTGTTTAACGTAGTTATCAGCAGGTGAAATCTACTAAAACTCCCATAAAATATTATTGAAGATCTTTAGATAGGTTTATTTCTAAATTTTTCAAAACCATAGGACTGTGTGGATTATATTTTAATACATAAAAACAAGATATTGAATTAGGGGCCTATACTAAAAAGGCTTGAAACATATCTTTTTCTAATAATTGATAGATTCAACCGTTACTTGATGGAAATTCATTTTATGTAACAACAAAACACTGAAAACTTTGTTTTCAAACTTCCACAAAATTTATTTTAAATCTTATCACTACAGCTGTTTCGGCTGATTGCCTTTCTCAAGTGATCTATTTTTGGCTTGGGTTTACAAATTTATAGTCTCTAATGAAATAGGTTGAGGAGGGTAGAACTGTTTGTCTCAAGTTGGTCATTCAGAATTATAACTGTGTTTTTTAATTAGTTGATTTCCATAGATTCTGACAAAGATAGCTTAAGGCCTTTATTTTGAATGTGAAGAATTTTAAATTTGTCATTAAAAGAATGATTATGATCTAGAAGGTGAAGTGCGTATGTCGAATCTGTTTCTTTATTCTTAAAAGCCCTTTTATGTTCTGCTATTCGTTTATCAAAGTTTCTACCAGTTTGACTGATGTAAGTTTTTGGGCAGTCGCCACATTGAAGTTTGTACACACCACTATTTAAGTGTTTTTTATTTTGGCTCTTGTTATTTTCAATATATTTGCCTAGGTTGTTATTTGTTCGGAAAGCTGATGTTATTCCTTTCTTTTTTATGTGTTTGGCAAGTTAGTTCCTGTTAGTTCCTGTGAAACATGTTCACAAGAACTAACAGGTAACTCAACCAATTTCTATCATATTATTATATTAATTCACTTCATAGTCATATTGAATTTACAATAGAAACAGAACAAAATCAATCCATAAATTTTTTAGATTTAAAAATTAGCAGACTTCAAAACAAACAGGACTCTCCATATTTCATAAACCTACCCATACTGACACTACTATACACAATTCATCATCCCATCCAACACAACATAAACTGGCAGCTTATCATAGTATGTTACATATATTAACAGAAATTCCGATTTCAAAATACAACTTTGAGACAGAATTAAATATAATTAAGCAAATAGCAATAAACAACGGATACAACAAACAAACAATTAATAAAATGTTAAATCAAAAACTACACAAGAAAGCCCTGAAATTAGTACTTCCACCACCAGAGAAAAAACCCAGTACCTTCTGCTCCATTACATATACAGGCAAAATAACAACAAAAATTGCCAAACACATAAAAAAGAAAGGAATATCACCATCTTTCCGAACAAATAACAACCTAGGCAAATATATTAAAAATAACAAGAGCCAAAATAAAAAACACTTAAATAGTGGTGTGTAAAAACTTCAATGTAGCGACTGCCCAAAAACTTACATTGGTCAAACTGGTAGAAACTTTGATAAACGAATAGCAGAACATAAAAGGGCTTTCGAGAATAGAAAAACAGATTCGACATACGCACTTCACCTTCTAGATCATAATCATTCTTTTAATGACAAATTTAAAATTCTTCACATTCAAAATAAAGGCCTTAAGCTATCTTTGTTAGAATCTATGGAAATCAACAAATTAAAAAACACAGATATAATTCTGAATAACCAACTTGAGACAAACAGTTCTCCCCTCCTCAACCTATTTCATTAGAGACTATAAATTTGTAAACCCAACCCAAAAATAGATCACTTGAGTAAGGCAATCCGAAACAGCTGTAGTGATAAGATTTAAAATAAATTTTGTGGAAGTTTGAAAACAAAGTTTTTAGTGTTTTATTGTTACATATCTTTTTCTTCTTCCTCTTTTTATGTAAACATGACTCTGTCATAGTCAGAGGGTAGTAGGGATACTTGCTGTGGAACAAAAACTGATACCTGACAGTAGATATAAAGTGCACACCCATGAAAATGGTGAATGATAATTTATGTTTATGTAATTTTTGGGAGATACTCCAGCATATTAAGTCACCTAGGACTCAATAGCACAGAAAGAGTCCCACCAGAGCTCAAATCTTTTGATACCATGGGTATATGGGTGAATTGTCTGCTTAAAGGGAGTGTGAGCCATATGGCTAAATCTAGAACTAAATAATAAATTTGTCATGATGGGTCAGAAACTGCCACAAAACCCAAATTTAACAACAAGTTGCTCTGTGTCAGACACAGGATAATGCATTAAGTGGCTAAGGAAATGTAATTTCTAACAATCTTTCAAGCTCCCTGGCCAGTGTTGAAGATTATGGCCAGCAACCTCTCTTTATAACTAACAAGAAACAATCATAAGGTATATAAAAACTTAAATGATTAGTGAAGCAGTTAATCGGGGGTTGCTGCATATTATTGGTTGCATAATATAAGAATAATGAAAACAATTTTATTTTTTAAATAAATAATTATTGAAGTTTTATTCTGAAATTGTAATAATCCTAAATTATGAAATTATATTATAAATCATAGTTAATTTTATCCCACACCATATGTCTATACTATTGTTTTGTTTTATGATTGTGTGTTATCCTAGAATAATTAATTTCATAACTTCTGAATGGTGGAGTTGTACACTTGTACTTTGACACAGTTCTATGGATTTTTAAATACATCAAATATTAAGTAAAGAATAAATTCTCTTAATGGAAGTTACTTTCTAGGTAAAAATAATAAGCTTCGCACAGTCTGAGAATTATTGATTCATCTTTAGGCAACATGCTCTTCAGAAAGCTCAAAATCAAACATCTACATCCCCCAGATAACTACAAAAGATAGGGAGCAAACAATTTTCTAAATTCCTTCAAATCATTTCAAAATGATACCTGATATCATTTCAATGATAAGAAACCTTTAGGAGTGTTAAAAGCTGACTCAAATGATACTTAGAGGAACGCTACAGCTGCAACTACATCTTATACCTGACTTTGTCAAACACATACAACTACAAATAAATTAAAAACACATACAACTACAAAATATATCTTTTTGCTTTATCCAAAAGAGCTCAAAAGCATATACAAATAATCAGCAGAGTACTAGGCATTCACCAAACAAATTCCTAGCAGTAAAGAGCAGTAAATTAGAAAAAAAGTATAGAAAATTATTACTAAGAATTAATGGAAGATTAATTGTCTCACTGACTGACAACTGAATAATTTTAAAGATTTTACTATTGAGTAAGAAAAGTATTTCTAAACTGTTGTGTTTGAACTTGGTAAAAGTAGACAGCATATGTATAAAACTATACTTAAAATGATATAAAATTAATAACTAAATGTGACACATCAACAATATTTCAAAGATAACTTCTATTGACACCAATAAGTAATCTTTTCTTTTACTCCTGAATGCTGAAGGTTATGTCTATATATAGAAATAAGTGACCGCTTCAAAGAAACCTTCTATCAAATAAAATACGAACCTGCAAACAGTCTCCACAACTAGTATTATCAATCTCATTCATTTTTTCTTCATAAAGTCTTTTAAACTCATTAATAATATCTAACGTTTTTGTTTCACCACAAACACTATTTCCAATTGGTATTGGACAACCATCGGAGACCAAAAGTCTTTGATGTGATCTATTTACGGTACACATTTTAAAAAACTAATAAAAGACGTAAATTTTCTGTAAATAGATAATAGTAGAAGCTATTTTGCGTAAACGTAAACACTAGTACTAGATGTTGTCATATTTTGACATTTGTCTATTCTCTCACAGTTCGTTCACAGCATGCTAAATCATACTTATCCATTGATAAAAAACTGAGTTTACGATACTTGCCTAACCAACCAAACTCGATGACTGCCTTGCCTTGCCTTGGACTTTTCCTCCCATTTCTATATATTATGTTAATTCTAAATAAAAAATAAGAATGAGATCATTACCAACGACTATAATTTATAATATTTGTTTATTTACTTTCCCTTTCATTCTCCACATGTATATGTTTAACTCATTGCCCAGCTAACCAATAACAATAAGCTTTCAAGTTAAAGGCACGATTTGATTGGACGACAAGTTCTTTTGAGATTTGAATTTGATTTATATGGAATATTACGTGAAAAATAATTTGAATGACCAACCCAATATTTTGACTTAAAAAAGACGTAAATGGGCTTCAAACTAAAGTCTATCAACATATTCACTTATTTATTGGCATCTATTTAGCTTATTTTTCTGGTTATTTGTTTACCTACCTACTTATTATCAACTTCTACATGACTTAAAAGTTAATTAGTTGTGTGGTTAAACTTGGAAGGGGAAACATCCAGTGATGTTTCGCCTTCACGTTTGTTTTATTGTTGTTATTATTATATAGTCCAGTCGTCAGAAATTTGACCTTTAAAAATCATACGAACAAACTAAATTTTGCTGACATGACACACGAGTTTTAACCTTGTTAAGGCCTGAGCCTCTTCAAGGAATGGGTAACTCTTTTTTTAACGGGTGTGATAAACGTCAATTAAAAGATGCGCGATGCTATAGTCGCGATCTTATAAGAAGTAGTAGACTACTAAGGAGCAGGGGGAAAAGAATGCGACTTGTAGTGTGATCGATAGGAACGCACAAGAAGAAGTGGGAATTGCCCAGCATGCCAGTTGTGGTACTTCAGGGGTTACCAGCCATACAGTAGGAACGGCTCTTTATCAGCGTTTTTGGCGCGCAGTCTTTACTGCGATATTGTACGGGTAATGTTTCTAGAATTTCAAAATACTCATCAGGAAGTTCATGTTCAGTGTTGTGCAGAAGTTTTGCTGGAGAAAACGGAACTTTCTTAGTGGTAAACCTGGTGAGTATTTGCCCTCTATGTTTGCAAGGCGTCTTTAGTGTTCGTTTTGCTCTATTGTTCGAGCCAGCTATGGTTCTTAGGACATACTTCCTGCTGTGGGTTAGGATTCTGTCCTTGATTGGCGTGATGTTGGCCAATATGTGTATGTGGGCTGATGGATACGACCAATCTTTTCTAATACAGTATCTTAGCATTATACGTTCAGTAGCTGCAATGGCATTCAGTTGGTGACTCTTGAGAGAGATGTAAACGCATGCCTTGTATTCGATTATCGGTCTGACAAGATGCAACAAAGTTTTGGAAGACGTTCCGCCAATTTTACCGGTTAGCACTTTCAGGAGATTAAACCTCTGTCTCACCCTATCTAAGGATTCCTGGACGTCGGCCTTCCAACTGAGAGTTCTTGTAAAACGAACTCCCAGTAGAGAACCGAGTTCCTGAGAATGAAGTCTTCTCCCAAAAGTGATATCCGGTCCTGGACGTCACGACAGTAAGGATATTTAAATAAAATTGCTTGTGTTTTGGAGGGATTTATGGTCACCCTCCATTTGATGCACCACTTCACGACTCTGTCAAGGTATTCTTGCGATCTTTCGAATACAGACCGTCGCTCGCATTCTCTGTGAGAGCCTGAAGTGAGAATGGCCGTATCATCAGCAAAAAGTAGAAGAGACTCTGATCCTTGCTGTGGGCGGGGAATGTCTATTGTAAACTGTGTAAAGTATTGGTGCAAGTATTGAGCCTTGGAGCACTTCAGCTTGTGGAGTGAAGGGGGTGGAGAGGTGGTCAGCTACTTTGATCCTGATCGTCCGATGAGGGAGATAGGAATTAATTAATTTAACGAAAGGTGTTGCCAGTCCAGCGAGGTGGAGTTTTTCAATTAGGCCTGTGTGCCAGACCTGAAGGAATGCAACGAATATCGTACGATAGCTTTGATGAGTCATGCTCTAAAACTGTTCTTAAAAATAACCCATAATAGGATCTATAGGAAATTAGACGTAGACATCAGTAACACTCAGATGGGATTCAGAAAAGGGCTGGGTACAAGGGAGGCTCTGTTTGCAATGAACGTTCTCTCACAGAGATGCTTAGACATGAACCAAGAAATTTACGCATGCTTTATTGATTTCGAAAAGGCCTTTGACAAAGTACAACATGAACCACTAAGACCAGTTCTAATAAAGAAAAATATAGACAGCCGAGATATTCGAATTATATGCAATCTATATTGGAATCAAACAGCAAATGTCAAGGTTGAGGGCAGACTAATAGAAGAAATTCAAATCCGTCGAGGAGTCCGGCAGGGATGTATCTTATCGCCACTTTTATTTAATCTGTATAGTGAAGCTATCTGTGAACAAGCACTCGAGAAGATCTTGGTCTGATAATAAATGGTGAGACGATCAACAATATACGGTATGCTGACGATACAGTTCATCTAACGGGAACGCTAGTAGAACTACAACATCTCGTTCAAAGTCTCAATATATACTGTAACAGTTACGGCTTGAAAATTAATTTGAAAAAAAAAACTAAATTTATGGTAATCACGAAATCAAAGAACATCTGAGCTAATCTTGTAATAGACAATACAACGATTGAGCGTGTGCCCTGTTATAAATATCTAGGTGCTTACATCACAGACGATACTGATCAAACAAAAGAGATTAGATGTAGAATAGAAATCGCTAGATCAGTCTTTAATAGAATGCGCAAACTCTTTTGCAATCGTGATATCAAAATAAAGTTACGAATACGAATGCTGCGGTGTTATGTCTTTTCTACCCTGTTATATGGAGTTGAGGCTTGGACACTAAAACAGTTGACCATAAAAAACATCGAAGCTTTCGAGATGTGGTGCTATAGGCGCATTCTCAGAATATCATGGATGGACCGCATCACTAACACGCAAGTACTCCAAACTTTAGACAAAAGATGCGAAATTCTAAATGAGATAAAAACTAGAAAGATGGAATACTTGGGGCACATTGTGAGAGGTGAAAAGTACGAACTGTTAAGAAACATCATGCAGGGCAAAATAAGTGTGGAAAGAACAAAAATATCGTGGCTTCGTAATCTACGTGAATGGTTCGGGTGTAGTTCGATTGAACTTTTTAGGCACGCTGCTAACAAAGTCGCAGTGGCCATGATGATTTCCAATCTCCGCTAGGAGTGGCACGAGAAGAAGAAGCCAGACCTGATCGAATGCCTTCTGGAAGTCGAGGAATATGCCCATGACGTGTTTCCTTTCGTTAATTGATTGTGAAATGAAAGTTGTTGCTTCAACCAATGCCTTTTGTGTGGAGTGTCCAGCCCTGAATCCGAATTGGTAGTCTGGAATTAAGAAGTGAGCATTTACGAGTCTCCCCTTAAGGATCCTCTCATAGATCTTACCTAGATCCTCTCATAGATCTTGCTCAGTAATGAAATGGGTCTATATGATTCAGGGTTGGTGAGGGTTTTCCCTTTTTTCGGAATCATGACTGTGCTGGCTACCTTCCAGGGAATAGGAAAGTAGCTCAGCGTTAGAGATGCATTGATTATATTAGTAAGCAATGGGATAATATTCTGTGGAAGATTTTTGAGGCATCTTCTGTGGATGTCATCGGTGTCCTCAGTCACATGTGCCATCATTGGTGAGGGTGTGGTCCATCATGTGCTTGAGGGTAGTAGAATATATCTTCCACTCTCCGTTCGGCGGCTCTTTTGGATCTTTCACTGAAATTTGGGCTATTAGGGGAGATGAGGGTGGCCTGTAGTGTGTTTTTAAAAGCTTCGGCATTGTCTTGTGGATTGTTAAGGCTAACTTTTTTGTTAAAAGTGATTTAAACGGGAAATCCATTTCACACAGGCTGATACCAAGTTCCTCGGTGGAAATGGCCGGGTCTACATCAGTGATGACGATGTGGAAAGGCGACTTTTTTTCTTGAGATGGCTTGGATGATGGCGTAAATTTTTAGGCTCGATTGTGATTGCAGAATCACCAGTCCGGTTTTGGAGAGTTTTTGACATATCTCTCACGTTCAATGTCTTGAACGTTTCGAGATATGCCAAACGGTCTTTTGGTACGAATTTAAGGTTGATCATGACACCCTTGAATAGTTCTTGGGTGTTTACTAGTTGGAAGAGCTTACGTTGAGTGTCGTTCTTCTTCTTCTTCTGGTTCCTATCCGTTTCGGATGTTGGAAATCATATTGGCAATCATAACCTTGAGCTCCGTTGAGGTTTTCTTAAACCATGTTCTTAAATTCCGCAGCCATGATTGTGTCATGAGTGTCGTAGGCTCCTGGAATATTAAGAACCTTGTAGGTGAAACGTTGCGGCTGTTTCACCTGGTTCTCTGATGCGGACTGATGCTCTTTTCTTGGGCTTTGCGGTGGTTGTAGTGACAGCTGGAGTGGTAGCTGCAGTAGGTGGCAATTTGGTCAGAGTTTTATTAGCTTTAGTAGCTAGATTGGTGGCTGATAGTTTTGATTTTGTGGCGGATTTTGTTGTTCTTCTTGTTCTCTTTGACCTGGAGCGAGTCCGAGGTCTCGGAGTAGGAGGAGTGGCTGGCTGTTCATTAGCTTCTGAGTCGCTTGAGTCTACCTCAGCGATGATGGGAAGAGGAGGAAAGTCCTCATAGTTGTTATCAGAGTCGTTTTCATCCTCCGTAGCAGGGCAATTCGAATTTAAATGTGGCTTGAACATGTTAAGCTCAGTAATAATTTTGGTTGTTACATCGGGATACATGGTAAAGGTCTCCTCGATGACAGAGGTCAGTCTAGTAATAAAATCACTAACTGGATTAGTAAGAATTCGACACTGCGACGCAGACGATTAGAGTTCAAAACCCACATGTTGTGGGTTGAAATTATTTGAAATTATGCAGAGATCGTTTTGATTTGAATCACTAGACATTTATGTCAGTCGTAACTAGT